TATGCCTACACCAGCAAGACCCCTGGAAGCAGCATCAGGGCTACCGGATACACGAAGAGTAAATCGAGCTGCTTCTTTATCTTGACATGGTGAGGTCAAATGAGTGATACTACTCGGATCCTGTATGCGCGTTTCCGAGACGCAGCACACATCGATGGAACGAGATTCTAAAGTCCTAGCTAAGGAAGCCTGTTGTCCTATTTGACACAATGTCCGTACATTGAATGTTCCAACATGTAGTTTGGAACGGGGTTTAAGGAGACCAGGAACGACGTTTCGCAAACTCGCATCGTTCGCATTAGCTGTGCACTGTAATAAATGAATGTGAGAAGAGTTAGTTGTGGAGATAAGAGAGGTATTAGGGAATGTAGGAAGGATTTGATTTTGAACAATTTTGTCTCGTGTGCTGTTGCGGGTATGAGGGCGGTTATCACTTCCCGGCTGCCCACACCGTGGAAGGTTGTTTCTTGACGAACCTGAAAAGGAAGATAGATTAGTGTTGGTGCGTGACCGCAGAGTCCAAGGAACAACTGCTTGAGGCCGGTCACGCACGGCCTTTTGACGAAAGGTATTTAGAGGATTAGCTCCGTTCTTAAAGGCCCTTAGTGGGCACCCTTACCCAAGGAGACGGAAATCCGTGAGTTAGGGGAGGTGTGACATTTTTAGGGTCGACCTTTTCTAACCCTTCCTTCCTTGTGAGAAGGCAGAATCGCTGCAGATGCTGGTTGTCCGAGGGAAACACCTTACTGCTGTGACACCCCTCTGCAGTCAGCAGTACGACTTCGCTCTTAGACCTTGAGTAGCTGGTTTTAGTCTCATCGTTCTCCAATCGACCTGCCTGGCATGGTAGGACCTGCAGGAACATGTGTTCCAGCCAGTATAGCTCGGTTGGGTCATCACGATAGGCAAGCCCGACCACCACGTCAAGGTAGCAGCTTCGGTCGGGATATATATATATATATATATGTTATGACTTTGAAATGCATGGATGTTAGGTATAAAATAGTCTCACTAACAAGCATTTTTTCAATACAGACCTTACATACTAATCATTGTCCTGATATTATTTTACGCCGGAAAACTGACTGATGCATATTTTTGGCTTGTACAATAATTAAGATAAGAGTCAATGGGTAATGTTCCCCATCAGTTTCTGGATTCTTGAAATACTGAATTAGAATTGATCAATTAAGGTGTTGATAAAGGTCAGTAATTATAGAATTATGTGAAAGCATTTTTTTCGAGTTATCAAAGATGAACTAATGTAAACGCTTCATCTCTACTTACTTCTTCACTAGGATTATGGAGAAGAAGGATCGGGAGAATATGGAAGCTGGTTTATCGCCCAGACTAGATTCGGACGTTAAAATTTTAACTACTTCAATGTCTTTACAAAAGCAAGTTGATATAACAAGAGCATTTAAAGAAATGATGAAAACACAGTATACTGAAGAGAATTCAATCAATAATATCTGCAATGATATTAAAAAGTATTTGGATAAGAAATATGGTGGATTATGGCAAGTATTCATTATTGATGGGTCGTTCTGGTCAAATTTCAGTCATGAACCTTTTCTAGCAATAGAATTTATGTACGATAAATTTCGTTGCGTGTTTTGGAGAAATCCAGCAGATTAATTTTGAAAATAAACAATAAAATAACAACGAAACTTGTATCGGACGATATTGTGAACGAAATGACATAAATAACTGTCTAATTACGTCTATATATTATTCTTACCAGACATATTTCTAGAAAATATTTGTTAAAATGCAGAAAATTTTTATAAATATCAGCCAAAATCTTTATTGAGTTGGTTGAAATCTTATGTTTTCATTAATGCACTTGCATAGATAGTATATTTTAGTCATACGTTTAAAAGTAACTGGATAATGAGTTAAATTAACGTTTCAGTAATCACGCTAAAGTACAAGTTATGTATGATAAAAATATAATATTTTAGGCAAAACTCCTGATTAGACATCAGAAAAATAATTAGGTGAAGAATTCTGATAGGAGCTTGCGATGGAACTTAGAAAAATGATTTGTTCATGGTGTCATAGTTTTAAATACAACTAAAGGATTGTGGAATAAAGTTGATATCATATGATTTGTGTGCATACAAGCCTGAAATCTGAAAATGGGTACTATCGATACATTTCCCACCTATTTTGTAAACTGTTTAACAAAATGTGTGATGTAATTTGAAAGATTTCGTACATAACACTGAGTATTCAATATACAGTTGATATAGTTGTAGAATGAAAAGCAGTTTCTTTGAGGCTTATCTACCTTAAACTCTGTACTTACATACATTTGACCAAGTGAGTTAATTAGGCAATCAAACAAAAGTTGGATAACTTTTAAAATTCAAACTACGTCAACTTACCAGGATTTGATTTTTTGAATCTTGAAAGCTCATTTACGTCAACAAAAGTTAGCAAACTTACACTAACATTTATCGCCTTCCATGAAATAGAAAGTGACCCAGCAAGCAAGTGAAGAAGAGCATTCGAAACGATAATTGATAGTGTGTGGAAGATCTACCAATGGAAACAGAAACATCTGCAAGAGGAGGACACATAAGATAACTACACAACACAACAAAACAGAAATGTAATTAAACAGAACGACCAGTCGAGAACAAGTACGCCAAAGCAATCATCGACATTCAACAACAACGACACAGGTGGATAGAGAACTTTGAAGAATTCTTCAATCTAACGACACCATTAGACACACCGAACATCGAAGCAGCATCCACGGATCTACCAATCAATGTTGACCCAAAAATAGTTGAAGAGATCAGAGTAACCATCAGATAAATGAAGAGCGGCAAAGCAGCAGGGCCAGACAACATCCCACACGAGCTACTGAAACCAGACATAACAGTGACTTCTAAGATATTCCACATTCTATTCAGCAAGATGTAGAAGAATGAACAACTACCAACTGATAGGAAAAATGAGGCACACCTCATCACAATACCAAAGAAACGCGATCTCAGTAAGTGTGATAACTACAGAGTCATCACTCTCCTCTCAATACCAGGAAACTTCCTCGTCAGCGTCTTATTAAACCGAATGAAACATTCAATAGACTCTCGATTTCGAGATCAGTATGCTATGTTTCGATAGGATCAATCGCATACTGACCAGATTTCAGCATTATGAATCAGTGTGGAACAATCAATCGAATGCAATTCACACCAATACATCGACTTGATTGACTACGAGTAAACATCCAACTTCGTGGATAGGATGACACTGTGGAGACTGCTTCGACACTATGATATGCCTGAGAAGATGGTGGACATCATACGAAATTCTCACAACGTCCTCCAATAAACACGGCAACCTAATCACACTTGTCGGAGAAGCTTCGGACTATGTAGATATCTTTACATATCTGGGCAGCACCATCGATGAGCAAGGTCGATCTGATGCATATGTGAATACACGGATTGGCAAAGCGAGGTCAGCAGTTCTACAATTGAGTCGAAATTTTCAATACGAACATCAAAGCAGTTCTATTCTGTGTTGCGGAATCTTGTAAAACAATGAAAGCCATCAGCCACATGAAACGCGTGTTTATAAACGGTTGTCTTCGCAAGACTCTCCTCATCCGTTGACCGTACGCCATCAGCGACAACCTACTGTGTGATATGACAAACCAGATTTCAGAGGAGGAAGAAATCAAGAAGAAGCTCTGAAGGTGTATAGGACACTCATTGCCGAAACACCCAACTGCGTCACGATGCGATCCCTAGCTCGCCATCCTCAAGGCCGAAGGAAAAGTGGTAGACCAAAGAGCAGAATATTCCGAGAATGAGGGATAGAGATGGAAAGAATGAATAGGCATAGGGAAGAAGTGTAAAGGAATTCGCAGAGTAGTGTAGGTTTGATAATTCTGGTCGGTGGCTTATGTCCTATTAAGTCAAACTTTCATGGTGACAAAACCACTGTAAACCCTTTTTTCCTTCCATTTTTCTCAACAAGAAGTATCTTTAAACATAAAAAATCTCCGATATAATATCTGCCCTCTTGATTTCAACAGTATCCGTTTACAATCATTTTCTTTTCATTTTTTCAAACACTTTTTATATCCTTATCACCAACCATTATTCTATGGTTTCGTACATTTTTCATGTGCCACCAACAATAACGAATCGAGTTCACAAAGTTTTATTCTTGTTTTCCTTATGTCCCCCTGCTTGTTAGTTAGTGCAGCTTTCAACGTCTGAACTTGATTAAAAGCTAAACAAGAGATTTTTTATGTATAATATAGGACTCTAGAATCTTGTGACAGTGACATGCTGTGTCTGCAAAACCCATAAGCGGATTTCATGTGTGGTTATTTACCTGATTTCCCTTAATTAAATATGAAGGATCAGAATCATGTCTCCCTTCACGCATCTGTCGATTTGACTGGTATTTCCCACAAAATCCCTGACATAGGTATAACATTAAGTTCATGGCTAGAATAAGACATACTAGGTGGGTTTTAGTAGGCAGTTACCTGTACACTCTAAAAGTAAACGGGACAGGGATAGGGACACACACAATCTCCTATTTGTAGTGCATTTTTATACTCCCACTGATTGTATTTGGAATGTAAACTTCCTGACTTTCTTCAAAAAAAAAACAAGAGACTAAGCAGAGAAGTTGCGGCAGCTGGTGTGAATGGTCACGTACGGAGGCTGAGTCAAGCTGGATGATACTAAGGCAGGTATTCTGTCATCTTAGATTAAAAAACAATGAGGTTGGTCATCTGTAACTGCACTTAGAAAACCGTTTATTTCAAGCAGTGACTAGCGTCAAGAATAACCAGAGATATCTTTGGATTTGGCAACTCCTGAAATCGATCTGAATATGGATGTATATCATCATCAGTGACAGTCGGGAAATTTTGTTCGATGACTGCTACTCCTTGGGTCTAGGAATAGGATCATTCTTACCAACGTCGCACAATGATTTTATTCTTTGTCTGAATTGCAGTTTTCAGAAGCATATAAACCTAGTGAGAGCTATTTACTATAAAACTATTGGTTGAGTTAAATCGTATAAATTGTCAGCTTTAAGTAGTCTTCATGAATGCTGCCCACTATCACCATTCCTCTTATGTATCAGTCTTCTGATAGGAGATTTACAAGTGGACTTAGATAACATCGATGACATAGTTCTGTTTAATGAAGATGCCGAACGAATGAAGTCTTCTGAATGCTAACAAATATAATGTTATGATGTTTGGGTATATTCCTTTTCATCAGATGTTGGGCAGATGTTTTTGTTCTTTTAATACCCTTAGATCTTGAATCTCAGTTATTACATGCTTTTAACTTCACTGATTCGTTTATTATTATTAGGCAATCGAACATTCATGCTAGATATTTAGGTTGCATATAGGTAACTGATGTATATACCATTCCAGTGATATTTGTACACATAATGATATGTGAGTATCCATTTCTGGTTCAGAGTGTGTAAAAAATAAAAATTTAGTCTGATGTTTATCAGTAAATTATTTTTGATGTTAACGTTTATGGAAATTCCATTGAGAAAATGGAATTTCGGTGAGAAAGATAGCTCGTTCTATTCTGAATAGTCGTATGTATATCATTCAATATATAATCAAAGCGATTGACGGTTATAGTTTTTGGATTATTATCTGATGACATTAGTTCAGACGGAAATCACAATCCTCAGACTGGGTGATGATCATTTTATGATTCAAAACTATTCTAGAATCCAGTAATCTACTGAAGAATTCGAGTCTTTGTGCAACATGATTTACCATGATAACTTCAAAGTATACAATTTATATCAAGTCTTTAGTTAACACTGAATTAAATGATTATTTTGATCGATTCTATTTGATTAACCCTGAATATTATGGAACAAGGTCGACTGAAAATCTTAAGGTCGACGGACTGGTTTTGTGAAGAATTGTAAGTGTCGACCGATGACATGATGCTGTTCAATTTCTTTAGTTTGCGATTATTCTACAGATTATTCTGTCAATTACACAATGAGAACCATTTTTATAGTTTGACTGCATTACTTATTTGAGCATGAAATTAGTATCACATATTTTCATAATATTTTCTTGAATCTTATAGTGAAACATTAAATATTACAGCCTATCTATTTTCTCTATCATGAGAATGAAGAAAGTAGAAGAAAATAATAGTAAACACTCTTAATACTTTTATTCAAAGCCATATTTTGAAAATACTACTTCAATGTCGTTATTAAATAGATTGGAATTTCATTGTGAATTATATCTATCAAGACATGGTCGGAGTGGTTTGGGGTTAAAGAAAGTAATCAGTTCTCTGTTTATTGGCTGTCTGAATTAGGTTCTGGAAGTTTTTGATTTTGGAAAAGCCCTAAGCAATTAAACCAATGAATTACCTGGTTACATATTTTCCCAATACTCAAGCTTACAGATGCAAAATATAACTTATTAAACATTTTATCAAAACCAAATCACTATCCGATGATTTAGAATTTTAACTGGTACTTGCATAATGTCAGTTTAAGATAGAAAAAGTATATCTTGCATTAAATTTGTGATTGCCTGCAGGTTTATTGAGTTAAAGACATGATGTTAATTATCAATATAAACGCTTCCTATG